AGGAATCCTAGTGTAAGTGAGACTATCTCAGAAAATGACGGGACTATTATTTATTCTCAATCCAGGAGACTGGATCGATGGGCAGAACACTTTAGGGATCAGTTCAACTGGCCTCGAGCCACTCTTCGGTTACCCACGATCTCCAGTCATCCTGAATGGCGAGTCGACGTAAGTCCCCCTAGTCTTAATGAAGTTGAAAAAGCGTTAGGAAATCTGAAGCGAGGGCGAGCTGCGGGTCCTGAAAGACTGAACCCTGAGATATTTAAGGATGGTGGTCCAGTTTTAGCAGCTAGGTTGACCGAGAACTTAGGTAGAATCTGGGAACTGGACGTAATCCCATCCGACTGGTCTCAATCACTGATTGTCCCAATTCATAAGAAAGGACAAAAGTCTTCTTGTGACAATCACAGAGGAATAAGTCTAACTAATATAGTATCTAAAATATTGGCCTCAATAATACTTCGGCGCTTAACGAAAGCTCGTGAAGAGCAAACTAGAGAAAACCAATCTGGTTTTCGACCTGGACGTGGTTGTATAGACCACATCTTCACACTACGACAGGTCCTGGAACATAGACACACATTTAGGCGTCCTACAATAGTTGTTTTCCTGGACCTAAAAGCGGCATTTGACTCAGTGGACCGTGAGGTTCTGTGGCAGTGTCTGTCATTGAAAGGTGTACCAAAGAAGTAAATTAACCTCATACAAGCTCTCTACTCGAACACCACTGGTCGAGTGAGAGCTTATGGCGAACTGTCACCGGGATTCTTCACTTCAAGTGGTGTCCGTCAGGGATGTCCACTCTCTCCATTCTTGTTAAACTTTGTCATAGACCTGCTTCTAGATATAACATTATCTTCGTCTGACTTTTCAGAAGTGGACCTTCTACCAGAAGATTCGCTTATTGACTTAGAATATGCTGATGACATAGTCCTACTTGGTGAAGATGCTGACAAAATGCAGAGTCTTCTGACTACCCTAAGCAACAATGCAAGCATGTTCGGGATGCGGTTTTCCCCCTCGAAATGCAAAATGTTGCTTCAAGATTGGGTTGCATCGGCACCTGAACTAGTGATAGGGAGTGAAGTGGTCGAACGTGTAGACCGCTTCACTTATCTTGGGAGTCTCATCAGTGCTGATGGCCTGGTGACTGACGAAATCTCGGCACGGATACAGAAGGCTCGATTGGCTTTTGCCAACCTGCGTCACTTATGGCGTAGGCGAGATATCCGTCTGCTGACTAAAGGACGAGTGTACTGCGCAGTGGTTCGCTCCGTCTTACTTTATGGCTGTGAAACATGGCCAATGAGAGTAGAAGATATTCGTCGGTTATTGGTTTTCGATCATAGGTGTCTTCGAAGCATTGCTCGTATATCGTGGGACACCCGAGTGAGCAACGCTGTTATTAGGAAACGGGTGCTAGGTAAGAATGGCAGATCAATAGATGAAGTGGTGAAACTTCATCAGTTGAGGTGGTTGGGACATGTGTTGCGTATGCCCATCCACCGACTGCCTCGTCGAGCTTTGTTTCGTAGTGTAGGAATAGGTTGGAAGAAAGCTAGGGGCGGCCAGACCAAAACATGGCATAAATCCATGAAGTCATTGACGAGTGGACTTAGCCATGTCGGTAATTGTCGACTACCTGGTTGGGGTCCGCGAGATGATAATAATCGATGGTTAGAGACCTTGAATGACATGGCTCAAAATCGTTCGCAATGGCGCCGGTGCATTTATTCTTTGTGTTCTCACAAATCCTAATCTTCTGGATTCTTCAACACCTCTAGTTTTGACTTTCTAAACTTATCTCACTGAATCATACTTCTTGAATATCTTCTAATTCTAACCTCTCCGATTACTTCTAATACCCTTACTAACTCTTCTACTATTGGATTTGAATTGACAATTATATCTCTGTGCTGATGTGGTATGGCGACATGAACCGATGTACTTACGTACGAAGTTCTACGTTGCAACTGACTGACTGACTGACACCTGATACCTTTTGGCAAACCAGAACACCCAATTCGTAACGAGACGTCAATCAGTTACAACGTATAACTTCGTGCGTACGTACATCAGTTTAAGTTGCTATACCTTATTAGTACAAAGACTCAATTGTCAGTTCAAATACCATAGTAGTAGAGGTGGTAGAAGTATTAGTATTGATCGAAAAGATTAGGGTTCGAAGATATTACTGAAATATAATCTAGTGAAATAAACTTAAAAAGAAGAAAAGATAAAGGTGATGAAGAATACAGAGCAAACGATTTTAGACCATGTCATTCGACGTCTCCAACAATCGATTACTATCATCTCGTAGACCTCAGTCAGGTAGTCCTACACTTACACTTACCCGTTTCCTTACCAAAGAACGAATGCAGTTCGCCCCATCTCACCATATGGATGCGAAACCTGGCCGGTAAGAGTAGAAGACATTCGTAAGTTATTAGTATTCGATTATAGATGTCTCCGAAGCATTGCTCGTATATCGTGGGACAGTCAAGTAAGCAATACTGTCCTTAGGAAACGGGTACTAGGTACGGATGACAGATTAATAGACGAAGTATTGAAACTTCAACAGTTGAGGTGATTAGGATATGTATTACGTATGCTTAATCACCGAATGCCTCGACGAGTGGTCTTTTGTGGCGTAGGTTGAGAGAAAGCTAGTGGCGGCCAAACCAAAACATGGCACAAATCCATCAAGTCACTGACAAGTGGACTGAGTATTGTTGGTATATGTAGGCTACCTGGTTGGTGCTCGCGAGACGATAGTCACCAATGGTTAGAGACCTGGAATGACATGGCTCAAAATCGTTTGCAATAGCGCAGGTACATCCACACTGTGGTCTTTTGAATTCTAACCTTCTGAATTCTCAATCACCTCCATTATGTTTCTTGATTGATTTCACTGAGACATATATCTTGAATAATACCTTGAGACCTTAATCTTCTCCATTACCGCTAATACTTCTATGGGATTTGAACTGACAGTTGCGTCTCTGTGATAATGCGGTATGGAGACCTGAACTGATGTACGCACGTAAGAAGTTCCACGTCATAACTGACTGACTGACTATACTTACTAATATGACTCAATCCAGTTGTCAGTGACATCATGCATTTGTGCCATGTTTCGGTTTGCCCGCTCCTAGCTTTCTTCTAACCTACTCCTATACCGAAAAACAGCTAGACAAGGCAGTAGGTGGTCCATGCTCAGATTTCTTCACACACCAGGCCATCAGTAATGATGAAACCCCTTGAGATTAGTGAAGCGGTCGACACGCTCAACTACTTCACTCCTTATCACTACTTCATGTGGCGATGCAATCGAATCCTGAAGTAATATTTTTGCATTTCGACAGGGAAAACCGCATCCCGAACATGCTTCCATTGTTGCTCGGGGTGGTCAGAAGACTGCATTTTGTCAGCGCATTCACCAGATAGATCTATGTCATCGGCATATTCTAAGTCCACGAGCGAATCTCCTGGTAAAAGTTCAATTCCTGAAAGTTCAGATGATGAGAGTCTCGTATTTAAAAGCACATCAATGACAAAGTTAGACAAAAAAGCAGAGAGTAGACAACCCCGATGCATATCATTCGAAGTAAAGAATTCCGATAACAGTTCGCTGTAAGGTCTCACTCGACCAGTGGTGTTCGAGTAGAGAGCCTGTATAAGGTTAACGTACCGAGACGTTATCAGAAACCAACAAATCAGGTCTGATGAGGCTTCGAAAATAAACGATATGGTTGATGTACCCAACAACCTTTCTCCCTACTTTAAAGGTTAAAGCAGACTGTGGCTGAGGTGGAATTCGGCATTTAGATGGATAAATATATACTAAACATGCTTATACTGTTGCTTAAGGCAACCAGAAAACTGAATTTTTTTTAGCGTCTTCACCAAACAGAACTATGTTATATGGGTATTCTAAGTCAGTAAGTGGATCACCTTGTATACCTTATCGTGATATGAAACAGATGTTTCTTAATTGTCAATATTAGGATTTTTTGAATACTTAACAATGTCATATTAGAGCTCATGGAATGCAAATAGAAGATTAAAAATATCAGAAACGATTAGTCGGACACAAATGATCACAGAAAACTATGTTGCAATTTCCATATTATTAAACTTTGAAGAAATATGAATCTCCTTGCTATAAACCATTGATTATCAGCAACAAACCGTGTTGAATAACGATAAGAAACACAACTGAGAGGGAAGTATTAGTTTGTAGAGTAGTAAGAAGATAGCAACAATATCGAAGACTTGAATGTGAAGTAAAGTACTTACAAACACCGTCTTTTCAGCTCATCTATACTTATATGTAGAACTAGAAGCATTCGGTTGAAATTGCAGACGCTTATAATACAACCATATTCAAGACAAATGACTGAATTACTTATTCCAACTATTAGTAAATCATTTTCAAATAATATAAAAGTTTTTATGTTTGAAGTTAGTGAAAGAACTCTTTCATGTACCTAAACAGTACATAATTATTATTGTATCTAGCAGGAATACTTCCGTTAAAATTGCAAGTGGTCACATTAGAATGAAGAGGTAATATGAGTGATATGAAACATGAAAACCAATGAACACTAAGAACACAACCAACAAAGTGAACTACAATCAAAAAAGTTTAGTATTAAATATATCTCTGCGTAACATTTATCTTTATAAATTCAACCACATTTACAGAAACAAATAATAAGGATACACTGGAGGAAAAGTGACCTTATCCAGTCAGTCAGTCAGTCAGTTGCAACGGTAGAACTTCGCACGTAAGTACATCAGTTCATGTTGCCATACCACATCTTATCCAGTAACATATACTGGATTTTTAAATTTTAGACACTGGCCATATTCTTTTAAACCACTTCGTAACAAGACATTTTGCGGTAGCAACAAATTATCGCATAACATTTGAAACCATATTTCAAAAAAGTACATCGGCATATTTTTCCAGTATATAGAGCATTATAGATTATTTTAACCAGTTTTTTTATTTACAAAATACGTGGAAATATATGTACAAAAAATCAAGAGTAAAGAGCTGTTTATTCATCAAATTTAAAAGAACAAGAATCTAGGGAAAGTGAACCTCCACTGTAAGAACCTCTTTTCTTCTTTGTTTTCTCTTGTTTGAACACTTTTCCACTGGTAAACTTGAAATCGCGATTTGCTTTCTCACCCCACGATCCTCGTGCGTTCCGCTGGAAAAAAAGATTTGAAAACAACAAGGCTCTCCAAGACTGGTACGAAAGTGATTAGGATAATAAGTTTTCATTTATGTAATTTACGTTATTGCAGTTCAATAACAAGCTAGAATTCTGCAGATCAGGCTGAACCAGACACCAGTTGACAGGTATGAATTCCCATAGGTAATTAAACGGGATCAAGTGGAATAACGAACAAATCAGCAAGTGAACAGATAGATGCTGAGTAAATACGTCACTCAGTTTGTTGTGTTGCAACGAAATAGTGTGTTTATCTAAACAGTAAGTGGTAAATAAGGTTTAAAACCTACTTTATATAATTGTTTCAGAAACTCAAAATATACCTCGTCCCCCCTTGATACATTACAACTTAAGGATCGTACACGAAACTATGAGATTAAAGAGATGTGTTGTTGAAAAAATTTTAGAAGTAAGCTAGAATATTTGCTTTAAAGACTACTACTCTTATTAGAGACATTTTTAATTATTTCTTAACTAAATTACATTTATCTACAAAACAACCTTGTAAAAACCTAAAATAAAAGTAGAATCCAATCTGAGTTATTCATAGTATTATCAAGTAATAGGTTTGTTAAAAATGTATATCAATCATTAATTAACGCTAGTGAATAAAAGAAACTAATGCACTGAAATTATATGTTACAATACATTTGTATTCCTCTCGTGGTATTATAAAAAGAAGAGCAGACTTACTTTTAATTAATATGTAGCTCGAAAGATATTTGTTTCGATCAAATTTTTCATACGATAATTTGGAAATGAACACATTCAATAATTGTGTAAAAACTTTGGTCAAATTTTGGGTCAAGCCGCATTCTCACAAGGAAGGAAGGGTTAGAAAAGTTCAACCCTAAAATTGTCATACCTCACCCTACCTCACGGAATTCCGCCTCCGGCGATAAGGTTGCCCACTTAGGGCTTTCAAAAGGAGCGGAGCTAATACTCAAAAACTTTTAATAAAAAGGCTATGCGTGACCGGCCTCAAGCAGTTGTCCCTTGGGCTCTGCGATCAGGCTCCCAGTTCTCTTAGACCGACACTAATCTGCCTTCCTATTCAAGCTCCTCAACAAACACCCTGCCACAGTTTGGGCAGCCGGGAAGTGACAACCGTCCTCAAACCCGTAACAGCACACGAGATCAAATTAGTCACAATCTAATCCTTCCTACACCTACTAATATCTTTCTTATCTCCAAGACTAACTCTTCTCACATTCCTTTATCACCCTGCACCGCTAATGCAAACAATGCGAGTTCACGAAAAGTTATTCCTGGTCCCCTGAAACCCCGTTCTAGACGACATGTTGAAGCCTAAAATGTCCGAACATTGTGTCAAATAGGGAAACAGGCTTCCTTAATTAGGACTTTAGAATCTCGTGTCTCCAAAACGCGCACATAGGATCCTATTAAAATTATTATTTTGATTTCAGCTGTTCAAAATAAGGAACCAACTTGATTTACTCTTCGTGTATCTGGAAGTCCCGAAGCTGCTTCCCCGGGTCCAGCTGTGGTAGGTATAGCATTGAGTTGTAGGGCAGAAATGGCTCTCCTAGACTGGATCCCAGTAGATAGTCGATTGTGCGCTGTCCGACTAAACGCGACAGTAAGGACTCGGAAAGATAGGAAAACTCGCTGTCTACTCATCGTTGTCTCCGCCTACGCACCCACTGACTATAGTTCAGACGAGGTTAAAGATGAGTTTTACAGAAAGCTTTCGAACCTCCACGAAAAAGTAAGGCGCTCTAATATAGTTATAAGGGCTGGTTACTTTGATGCTCAAGTAGGTAGACTAGTGAAATTGAAAGACACCTGGGTGGATGTTATGGTAACATGGCTCAGAGAACAGACGATGGCGACCGTCTGTTGCAAGTATGCTCAGATAACCGCCTATTACTAGCAAACACTAACTTTAGGCATAAGGAAAAACATCTCTTGAAATAGCGACCCCCAAAGTCGTCTCAACGTTGGACCCAACTAGATCACATTACCATCAGCCACCGATGGAGAGGTTTGGTAGAGGATTTTCGCTCGTTGTGGGGCACATGTTTAGATTCAGATCAGGCTCCAGTGCGAGCGCAAATTTGTTTGAGTCTTACTGGATGTAGGGAAGACACCGCGAAGAAACCTCTTAGGGCTCTACCTATTGAGAACAAAGCGAAGAATATATTTCAAGAACTAGGAAGACAGTTGAGCGACCATGCAAGTGATTCCCATCCGTTGGCAGCTTGGAATGATATCAAAAAGGGTGTGGATACAACAGTCTAGGAATAAGCCGTGGATCTCAGCAAGAGCAATAGAAAAGGTAGCAGCGATAGGTAACAGCCGACAGTTGATCCAACATATCAAGGAAACTGGTATTAGGAATCCGAATGTAAGTGAGACTATTTCGGAAAACGATGGGCCTATTATTCATTCTCAATCCAGGAGATTGGATCGATGGGCAGAAACACTTTAGGGATCGGTTCAACTGTCATTCAGTCACACTTCGGTTAGCAGTAACCGATGCCATCGTTAGGAAACGAGTTCTAGGTGGGAATGGCAAATCAAATGATGAAGGTATTGAAACTTCATCAGTTGAGGTGGTTGGGACATGTGTTACGTAAGCACAACCACCGACTGCCGCGACGAGCTATGTTTTGTGGTGTGGGAATATGCTGAAAGAAAGCTAGGGGCACAAATCCATGAAGTAACTGACGTCTTTACTGAATCATGTTGGAAGATGTAAGCTACCTGGTTATATAAATGAAATCGAAAACATCGAGAAATTGATAAAAAAAGACAACAAAAACACAAAAATTTAAACAACTTACCTTAGCCTCGAAAGAATTGTCCCTTAAATTCGGATGCACGAAAACCTCATTTTCTTCAACACGACGGAACGGTCCGTTAGATACAGAAGAAGAATTACGAACCGAAGTTTCACACATTACGCCGTCACCATTAAGAGAAGCTGATGACGAAGAACGGTTCACCACAGAATCCACTGAAAGACGATTGACAGAACCAGAGGCAACGAAAGAAAACCGACGTTTCCGTGAATTGACACCATTCACAAAAGATTGAGGACGCGGTGGTACAACATCAACAATATTACATACACCAACATCAAGAGCCTTCTTCGCCGATCCTGCAGCACCCTCTTCACTCGAATCCGAGTCCGAACTCGACGACGCCGGCTTCCCAACAGCCTTCTTACCACAAACAACCACACCGGCAACAGGCTTACACACAGACGGAGACGCTTTCACCAACGCAGGCTTCTTACTCCCTGGCTGCTCGTCATCACTAGAATCAGAGTCCGAGCTCGACGAAGCGGCTGCCACCTTCTTCTTCTGCACAGACTGAGCACTAACTTGAGGGACAACACCCATGCCTGACTTAACACCACTACCGGCAACACCCACAGGCTTCTTCACCAATCCCACAGCACCCTCTTCACTCGAATCCGAGTCCGAACTCGACGACGCCGGCTTCCCAACAGCCTTCTTACCACCAACAACCACACCGGCAACAGGCTTACCCACAGACGGAGACGCTTTCACCAACGCAGGCTTCTTACTCGCTGGCTGCTCGTCATCACTAGAATCAGAGTCCGAGCTCGACGAGGCGGCTGCCACCTTCTTCTTCTGCACAGACTGAGCACTAACTTGAGGGACAACACCCATACCTGACTTAACACCACTACCGGCAACACCCACAGGCTTCTTCACCAATCCCACAGCACCCTCTTCACTCGAATCCGAGTCCGAACTCGACGACGCCGGCTTCCCAACAGCCTTCTTACCACCAACAACCACACCGGCAACAGGCTTACCCACAGACGGAGACGCTTTCACCAACGCAGGCTTCTTACTCCCTGGCTGCTCGTCATCACTAGAATCAGAGTCCGAGCTCGACGAAGCGGCTGCCACCTTCTTCTTCTGCACAGACTGAGCACTAACTTGAGGGACAACACCCATACCTGACTTAACACCACTACCGGCAACACCCACAGGCTTCTTCACCAATCCCACAGCACCCTCTTCACTCGAATCCGAGTCCGAACTCGACGACGCCGGCTTCCCAACAGCCTTCTTACCACCAACAACCACACCGGCAACAGGCTTACCCACAGACGGAGACGCTTTCACCAACGCAGGCTTCTTACTCGCTGGCTGCTCGTCATCACTAGAATCAGAGTCCGAGCTCGACGAGGCGGCTGCCACCTTCTTCTTCTGCACAGACTGAGCACTAACTTGAGGGACAACACCCATACCTGACTTAACACCACTACCGGCAACACCCACAGGCTTCTTCACCAATCCCACAGCACCCTCTTCACTCGAATCCGAGTCCGAACTCGACGACGCCGGCTTCCCAACAGCCTTCTTACCACCAACAACCACACCGGCAACAGGCTTACCCACAGACGGAGACGCTTTCACCAACGCAGGCTTCTTACTCGCTGGCTGCTCGTCATCACTAGAATCAGAGTCCGAGCTCGACGAGGCGGCTGCCACCTTCTTCTTCTGCACAGACTGAGCACTAACTTGAGGGACAACACCCATACCTGACTTAACACCACTACCGGCAACACCCACAGGCTTCTTCACCAATCCCACAGCACCCTCTTCACTCGAATCCGAGTCCGAACTCGACGACGCCGGCTTCCCAACAGCCTTCTTACCACCAACAACCACACCGGCAACAGGCTTACCCACAGACGGAGACGCTTTCACCAACGCAGGCTTCTTACTCGCTGGCTGCTCGTCATCACTAGAATCAGAGTCCGAGCTCGACGAGGCGGCTGCCACCTTCTTCTTCTGCACAGACTGAGCACTAACTTGAGGGACAACACCCATACCTGACTTAACACCACTACCGGCAACACCCACAGGCTTCTTCACCAATCCCACAGCACCCTCTTCACTCGAATCCGAGTCCGAACTCGACGACGCCGGCTTCCCAACAGCCTTCTTACCACCAACAACCACACCGGCAACAGGCTTACCCACAGACGGAGACGCTTTCACCAACGCAGGCTTCTTACTCGCTGGCTGCTCGTCATCACTAGAATCAGAGTCCGAGCTCGACGAGGCGGCTGCCACCTTCTTCTTCTGCACAGACTGAGCACTAACTTGAGGGACAACACCCATACCTGACTTAACACCACTACCGGCAACACCCACAGGCTTCTTCACCAATCCCACAGCACCCTCTTCACTCGAATCCGAGTCCGAACTCGACGACGCCGGCTTCCCAACAGCCTTCTTACCACCAACAACCACACCGGCAACAGGCTTACCCACAGACGGAGACGCTTTCACCAACGCAGGCTTCTTACTCGCTGGCTGCTCGTCATCACTAGAATCAGAGTCCGAGCTCGACGAGGCGGCTGCCACCTTCTTCTTCTGCACAGACTGAGCACTAACTTGAGGGACAACACCCATACCTGACTTAACACCACTACCGGCAACACCCACAGGCTTCTTCACCAATCCCACAGCACCCTCTTCACTCGAATCCGAGTCCGAACTCGACGACGCCGGCTTCCCAACAGCCTTCTTACCACCAACAACCACACCGGCAACAGGCTTACCCACAGACGGAGACGCTTTCACCAACGCAGGCTTCTTACTCGCTGGCTGCTCGTCATCACTAGAATCAGAGTCCGAGCTCGACGAAGCGGCTGCCACCTTCTTCTTCTGCACAGACTGAGCACTAACTTGAGGGACAACACCCATACCTGACTTAACACCACTACCGGCAACACCCACAGGCTTCTTCACCAATCCCACAGCACCCTCTTCACTCGAATCCGAGTCCGAACTCGACGACGCCGGCTTCCCAACAGCCTTCTTACCACCAACAACCACACCGGCAACAGGCTTACCCACAGACGGAGACGCTTTCACCAACGCAGGCTTCTTACTCGCTGGCTGCTCGTCATCACTAGAATCAGAGTCCGAGCTCGACGAGGCGGCTGCCACCTTCTTCTTCTGCACAGACTGAGCACTAACTTGAGGGACAACACCCATACCTGACTTAACACCACTACCGGCAACACCCACAGGCTTCTTCACCAATCCCACAGCACCCTCTTCACTCGAATCCGAGTCCGAACTCGACGACGCCGGCTTCCCAACAGCCTTCTTACCACCAACAACCACACCCGGCAACAGGCTTACCCACAGACGGAGACGCTTTCACCAACGCAGGCTTCTTACTCGCTGGCTGCTCGTCATCACTAGAATCAGAGTCCGAGCTCGACGAAGCGGCTGCCACCTTCTTCTTCTGCACAGACTGAGCACTAACTTGAGGGACAACACCCATACCTGACTTAACACCACTACCGGCAACACCCACAGGCTTCTTCACCAATCCCACAGCACCCTCTTCACTCGAATCCGAGTCCGAACTCGACGACGCCGGCTTCCCAACAGCCTTCTTACCACCAACAACCACACCGGCAACAGGCTTACCCACAGACGGAGACGCTTTCACCAACGCAGGCTTCTTACTCGCTGGCTGCTCGTCATCACTAGAATCAGAGTCCGAGCTCGACGAGGCGGCTGCCACCTTCTTCTTCTGCACAGACTGAGCACTAACTTGAGGGACAACACCCATACCTGACTTAACACCACTACCGGCAACACCCACAGGCTTCTTCACCAATCCCACAGCACCCTCTTCACTCGAATCCGAGTCCGAACTCGACGACGCCGGCTTCCCAACAGCCTTCTTACCACCAACAACCACACCGGCAACAGGCTTACCCACAGACGGAGACGCTTTCACCAACGCAGGCTTCTTACTCGCTGGCTGCTCGTCATCACTAGAATCAGAGTCCGAGCTCGACGAGGCGGCTGCCACCTTCTTCTTCTGCACAGACTGAGCACTAACTTGAGGGACAACACCCATACCTGACTTAACACCACTACCGGCAACACCCACAGGCTTCTTCACCAATCCCACAGCACCCTCTTCACTCGAATCCGAGTCCGAACTCGACGACGCCGGCTTCCCAACAGCCTTCTTACCACCAACAACCACACCGGCAACAGGCTTACCCACAGACGGAGACGCTTTCACCAACGCAGGCTTCTTACTCGCTGGCTGCTCGTCATCACTAGAATCAGAGTCCGAGCTCGACGAAGCGGCTGCCACCTTCTTCTTCTGCACAGACTGAGCACTAACTTGAGGGACAACACCCATACCTGACTTAACACCACTACCGGCAACACCCACAGGCTTCTTCACCAATCCCACAGCACCCTCTTCACTCGAATCCGAGTCCGAACTCGACGACGCCGGCTTCCCAACAGCCTTCTTACCACCAACAACCACACCAGCAACAGGCTTACCCACAGACGGAGACGCTTTCACCAACGCAGGCTTCTTACTCGCTGGCTGCTCGTCATCACTAGAATCAGAGTCCGAGCTCGACGAGGCGGCTGCCACCTTCTTCTTCTGCACAGACTGAGCACTAACTTGAGGGACAACACCCATACCTGACTTAACACCACTACCGGCAACACCCACAGGCTTCTTCACCAATCCCACAGCACCCTCTTCACTCGAATCCGAGTCCGAACTCGACGACGCCGGCTTCCCAACAGCCTTCTTACCACCAACAACCACACCGGCAACAGGCTTACCCACAGACGGAGACGCTTTCACCAACGCAGGCTTCTTACTCGCTGGCTGCTCGTCATCACTAGAATCAGAGTCCGAGCTCGACGAGGCGGCTGCCACCTTCTTCTTCTGCACAGACTGAGCACTAACTTGAGGGACAACACCCATACCTGACTTAACACCACTACCGGCAACACCCACAGGCTTCTTCACCAATCCCACAGCACCCTCTTCACTCGAATCCGAGTCCGAACTCGACGACGCCGGCTTCCCAACAGCCTTCTTACCACCAACAACCACACCGGCAACAGGCTTACCCACAGACGGAGACGCTTTCACCAACGCAGGCTTCTTACTCGCTGGCTGCTCGTCATCACTAGAATCAGAGTCCGAGCTCGACGAGGCGGCTGCCACCTTCTTCTTCTGCACAGACTGAGCACTAACTTGAGGGACAACACCCATACCTGACTTAACACCACTACCGGCAACACCCACAGGCTTCTTCACCAATCCCACAGCACCCTCTTCACTCGAATCCGAGTCCGAACTCGACGACGCCGGCTTCCCAACAGCCTTCTTACCACCAACAACCACACCGGCAACAGGCTTACCCACAGACGGAGACGCTTTCACCAACGCAGGCTTCTTACTCGCTGGCTGCTCGTCATCACTAGAATCAGAGTCCGAGCTCGACGAAGCGACTGCCACCTTCTTCTTCTGCACAGACTGAGCACTAACTTGAGGGACAACACCCATACCTGACTTAACACCACTACCGGCAACACCCACAGGCTTCTTCACCAATCCCACAGCACCCTCTTCACTCGAATCCGAGTCCGAACTCGACGACGCCGGCTTCCCAACAGCCTTCTTACCACCAACAACCACACCGGCAACAGGCTTACCCACAGACGGAGACGCTTTCACCAACGCAGGCTTCTTACTCGCTGGCTGCTCGTCATCACTAGAATCAGAGTCCGAGCTCGAGGAGGCGGCTGCGAATTTTCGATTCTGTGTCTTATTAAACTGATGCGGAGGAATATTTTTTAAACCGAATACTGTTTTATTAGTTACTTCGTTATTCGTGTTGTTAGTACCGTTAATTTTGTCTTGTTTTTTGTTTCTAGCGTTTTCTGTCATATGCATTTGGGAATGATTAACTTTTTTGCTGAATTCATGTTTTTCTGGAGGGTTAGATGTTAGTTGAACTCTGCAAGTCAAGTCTTCTGAAGTGTTTTTGTTTTTTTTCACTTTCTGTTGATACTTTCCATTCATTTTCAAAAGCTCGGCCGCTTTCAGATGATCGATTGGTTTTCTATGTTTTGAAATATAAGTATAGTTTAAACATAATGGGGCGAAACATCATATAGTACGTATGACAATACTGCTTATCGATAATTATTTACTTATTATCACAGGACATCCAGGATGAAAGTTTTTATGCCTCATCACTATATTTAAAATAATTTCCGGTTCGTTCATTCAAATTAAGAAGTACTTAAGGCAGAATCTGTCTAACTTTCAGATCATTAGCTCTTTTCGTTTATAATATGAAGATAACTGGAATACTAATCACAACACACACCACCGAAATAAATGTTAATAAAAATAGTAGCTCGTGTATTATGAGCCACGAATGAAAGTCAAGTGATCTGACTAACAGGAATAATAATCCCCGAATTATGTTGCAACGGTGTCTAGTGCTACGATATGAATCCGGTTAAACTTTATTGTTCGCTGCCTAACACTAGCCACATTTTCCCTGTGTCGAAATCTATGATGAAATTGAAATGAGCTTCAAGACTGACTCAGTAGATAAAAGGATGACTGCACACCACAAGTCCTTTGATAGGTATCAATGCAAATTTATATAAACAACCACAATCTGACTGAATGCAAATAGACCAGGAGAATTATCACAACGACCTAATGATGGCAGACTTCGTCACGAAACATGTCTAACCTGGACTTACATTTACTTGCAGATTGAAGTAACTACTCAATATTCTTTAAACAATTACATTTAATGACCAATTCGACGTGCCCCTACATCTATATATTTGTGGACCTGCTACGAACTAGGAATATTCTGAACCAGCTAACTGGTAGTACAACTGTATAGATAGGTTTATACATGACAGGGAATTTGGACAAATCACAGCCCTAACTTAATGGGATGGAAACTGCCTTTGTATCGATTAACTTATGACTTTAATATAATGAATAAAACAAACTTTTGCAATAATTGCGGCAATTTTCAGCATAAGAATTAAACAAAAATAATCTGCCTATTTTACTAGCCTGTAAATATAAGACTATTCTGACTTGCCGTATTCTGCAATACGAAACCACGCTCAGATGTTTAGACAGCCCTCCACGAACAAATGACAATTGTAACAAGCAACATCCAATATTTTTATGACGAGCTTGTATAAACTAGTCGATTTCTTTGCTCTCGATTCTTGTTCTCTCGGTACGGTTTCAGGTATTTGGTAGAGGCCAGTGGATAGGGTTCAGCCTTTCGAATGGACCAATCCATATGAGTTTGCAGTTGTTTGTGAGTTCGTATGTCGTGTGATTTGAGTGTATACATCATTTTCAGGAAAACAGGGTTTCTGGATACCAGCAGCTATCACGTTACCAGGCTGGAGATCAGTTAGTTGAAATGTGGAGAATAATAGGAATAAAATTCCAATGCTGATTAGAAGACAAAGATTACAAAATTAAGTAAGTAACTAATTACTTTAGTGTGAAGACTGTGTGAGAGGACCGAAGTGTAATCAAGGAAGAGTCACCAGGGATACTGAGTTGGTGATCCGATGAGATGTCAATAATAACTACTTGCAGGTCGTAAAACATGCATCAGACCCAGATGGTCCACGAGGTAGATGATACTCTGTATGTATGTCCGCTAAGAGGTCTAAGGTCACCTCGACTTAGAGAGTATTCCAAGTGCAGCGACTCTTAATGAGAAGAAGTATGCACGAACCGAAGTGTCCACTCTCTGATGCGCAATTTTTCGAACATCACCTCTAAGGGTGTAGTGATGATGTTTCTCTAAAATGATTTGGCATGCTTAAAATACCGTAGGCCATTATCAGATCACCTCTGATTCGCCTGTAACTCAGGGAGAATAATGTCAAGTGCTGGAGTCTGTCTTTGCAAGTTTAATTCTGCAACCTTATCACCCCTTTCGTTGCTCGTCTCTGCACCCGATCCAAAAGATCTGTCTCTTTTAAGGAGAGGGGGTGCGACGTTGTTGTGAATCCCAATGTGTGGGCGCGCAAATGTCTTGAACGAGGTTAAGAATAATTCTGTTGTGATAGCCCCAAGTTGTCCTCACACATATTGAAGAGTTTCATTAGCATTGGCTGCATCTCTTACATAGTTCGAACTGGTGTCGAGGCTTTCGGTGATTATTAAACCGAAATCGCGCTTCGAGGAGAGATTAGGTAGCGGACTTCCATTGAGAGTGTAAGTCGTTTGCGTTATTTGGAGCAAAATGTACACAACCTGACATTTAGACTGGTTTGGTTTTAGGCCGTTCATAACTGCCCAAACTTTCTATTCTCAGAATAGTTTCTGAGCCATGACAGGAGTGGGTCAGTGAGTCAGCAATTTCTGCAACCTTCAAAATTAAGAGTGCATGGGTTACTGTGTCAAGGGCTTTTTCAGGGACGAGACATTTTATGTGCACCTGTGTGTTGTGGTCCCAGCAGGATGCCATAAGATCGGATGCACACGACTTACCTTTCTGGAACCATTCATTTGCTCGTTCGCCAGCCCTTCCATTACATCAGATAGTACTGGTGTTGGTGCTAGTGGTCTGGACAGGTTGGGTTTTTCCCATCTCCCCCTTTGAAGATTGGAGAGCGAGTAGCTTGTTTCCTTTCAGCTTGGAGTTGGTGTGACTCCAATGAATGCCTGAACAGGTCACATATCGGTGAACTGAGGGCTTCTGTACACTGTCTCAAAACTATAGGACGAATATCGTCCTTGTTGTAACGGTTGCTTAAGATATTTCCCGGCTAATCTTATTGCTTATTATTCTTGACACAAAACACTGGACAAATAACCCAAATCAAAACACGGTTGAACAGGAAGGATTGTATTCCAAAATAGCAAGGAAAAGAAGCCGGAGGTGATGGCGAAGGCCAAGGCAAAGAAAGCAAGAAAGCAAGAAGGCAAGAAGGCTTGAAGGCAAAGATAAATACAGTGCTAGTCTATTTATAGCAGCAGCCAATCGACGGTTGTTTAAAGATATGGTCCTGGTGAATTTCCGAGACACAAGGAGTTCAGTTCTCTCTGTACTAGGTAAGGAGTGAGTCGAATATCACCTAGGCCATCAAGTGGCACTATGTTTGAGCAATACTTTGAACGTGTAGCTACTTGATTTAATAGACAAGCGAAGTCGGTGTTCAAGATCTCACCCATTTCTAGGTAGGTAAGTTCTTAGCGATTCCTAGCTTTCGTAATTGGATTTTCTATGGTGACAGTTCAATTCGATTCCAATAGACGTATGTCGGACGCACTTCCCGATTTATAATATAAAACACAATAATTCTAGGGGAAAATGGTCTATTAATAAATAATAAATGGAAATACAAACAATACCTAACGAAATTTACGCCTTCCAATTCAAAATTACTCTGAATGAGTATCAAGGTTCCGAGGTCTAGGTGAACTCCTATACTGCACGATATCCATCCAAAAATGTGGCGGTAGCCATATTATATCAAATTTAAACAACATATGTACAGTTCAGAGGCAAACATAAAAACTTCAATATAAGTACAAAATATAGAAAGAATAACAATATACAATGATAAATTCTCAAATTGGAATCAAATAAAATACCAAAAATGTCAACAGAAAAAGTCCGTCATGTCATAGCAAAAATACGTAAACATGGAGGGATTTTCCAAAACACAAAACATTCAAAAAGGATTCTACACCGGCCCGCAAAATCCCTCCATGCAAAAAGCAAGCGTTAATGACACTTCTATTTAGGGTTCCCAGTTATCCCCTAATCCACACCGGAAGAACGTGTAGGACTTACAGCAGTACGCCTACCCGCCATCCAACATGGATATGACCTATCATGCTAACTAGGTACCTATACTTTCCCATCAGGCCCTTGATTCCCCTATCTATCGTGGCATGACCTAACGGTAGTATAAACCTTACCCAATTAACCCACACGAACACGTACAACACGTCGTAAGACTGGTCATATCCTATCCGGGAACTACATTCCCTATCATGGGGACGAGTCGCCAATCCACCACCACTTGCTCCGATCAGCAGATACAATGAAGTCCGGGATGCTGACTTATCGACAGAAGTTTTTGACCCATAAATAATATGCAAGGGTGGGATCTCCAATTTTGACATTTCATCGTCTCCAGAAGACTTTAAGTAGCATAACGTGGGATCAATATTTATCTCTCCATCTCCTGATACATAGGAGGTTTGATCAGCATTCGTCATCGTCGGTAACTCATTTGTCACATCAGTGACATCCAGATTATTATCAACGTCATCATGATTCCGTTCTGCCAGACAAGTCGCGTCGATTCGGTCTGCATTAGCATCCGTAGAGTGGAACTCTTCCATTTTTGTATAACTCATATCACTACGTGAAAGAACAGCATTAGTATCGCAATTCGAAACTGATATACTCACTTGTTGTTCTTCATGTTCCGTTTCAGAGACACAAGACATGCTCATCAATAGCATCGTCATCACACAACACTGTAGACTGGCTGTTACCATCAAACACTTTCTTCTCATCATCACTCGACTGACAGTCAACCGGAATAGGAACAGTTACAGTTGCACAACCTTGTGCATCTTCAATCAACTTAACATTCGTGACGAGGTCCAATGACGTCGAAACACTAGGAGGCTCATTCGATGAAGTTGATAGACTAGTCACTGTAAATGAATTTCTACAGTGGCCGTTCCAATGGGTTCCAATAGGGGCACTCCTGTACGATTCTCCCAGTCCCGGGTCCCAATCCAAATCAAAAAGGACAAAAATTCTAGGAGAAAGCGGTCTTTATTAATTAAAAAATGGAAATACAAAGCATTACCTGGAAATAGTGCCTCTTCCAGGGTACAATTACTCCGAAGAGTATCAGACACAGTGACAGATAAGTGACGCTAAGTCCAGCGGCCACTGCATCAATCCAAATATGGCAGTAGCCATATTAAAGATCAAATTTAAACAACATATATACAGATCAGAAGCAAACACAAAAAACTTCAATATAAGTACAAAATATAGAAAGAATAACAATATACAATGATAAAATCTCAAATTGGAATCAAATAAAATACCAAAAATGTCAACAGAAAAAGTCCGTCATGTCATAGCAAAAATATGTAAACATGGAGGGATTTTCCAAAAAACAAAACATTCAAAAAGGATTCTACATTCACTATAAGTGGACTGCTCACACCTTCTGTCTCCTTATTATCGCTGTCACTACTAAGATTCTGATGGCTACTATTTCCATTGCTAGTCATAGCATCCGAAAGAGAATGAGGTTTAGGCTTCTTTATAATAGTAGCATCATGTTGTCTCCTAGGCTTCTTAGCCTTTACAGTACCACCATCACTTATCCTAGAATCTACTCTAGGTCCAGTTATATAATTTACCCTAAATGAAGGGTTCCGAAAATAGGCTTTATTCCGTCCAGACAATCCTGCCTGGGCCTTCTTCATATTTACTGAACTCATTAACCTCTGATTGCTCGAATCCAAATAACCGTTCCAGGCTTTTCGAGCAGCTAAGAGGCTTTTATCATCACACACTTCGGATCCATCTTGATGCCTACACTTTTCACCCTTTTCTTTCTTTTCCATACTTAGAAAAGCCATCTTATCTGTTACACCAACCGGCTTCTTACTAGGATACGCATCAAGAGGTTTTACATCGTTACGGTCACATACTCGTCCTTCATCAGCGTATGCTTTCGTGATATAATTGACAACTCTCTTATCTTCCGGGCGTGCGTTAGATAGAAACGAAGAATCCTCATGTCTCGCACGCAGACCACTAGTAGCTTCCGTATTATTTCCTGTTTTAGCCCGATAAGCTAATCTTCCGAACCTACTACTAGCTATCTTAGCGCGAGACATAATAAATTCCGTCAAATCATTGAAATTAGGCTCTCTCTCCTCTTCGTCCCACTTGATTCCCAGCTCTGCCCACTGGGCTTGCATTCGACGAGGTAAGAGCCTGACTAATCGTTCTAAAGTAACCATGGAATGAAGTTCCGTTGCACAATTTAGCTGTTCTAAGGTTAAAGCAGCATTCTGCATTTTAATAGCCAAATTCGTCAGTTCCTCAGGCTCATTGAAATCTGTGTTCCCGGTTCTAAATAAGTC